GCCCATTTGGGATAAACAATGATCAAATTCTTCAATTGTTTTTAAGACAAATACCTACATTTTGTAATTCTTGGTGAGCAGGACTTGACCCTGAAGCACGGCTGGCGCACCGGTGCGATTATCCCGGAGCTGCGGTCAGAGATTAAAATCATGAACACAGAGAAGTACATTCAAACCATGACCTGGCTGCAAACCTTGACAGGATTATTGGAACACATGCAGGTTTGTTCTCTGTGTGTGTGTGTCTGTGTGTAATCAGCTCTGTGCAGCAGAAAGCACCCAGCTAAGTTTCTGATGATATTGCAAGTGCTTTCAGTCTCATTGAAGCTCGTCAGTGTTTGGTGATAAATAAATCATAGAATTATCAGAGAATTTAGGGGTTGGAATGGACCTTACAGATCATCTAGTCCCAACCCTCCCTGCTATGGGCAGGGACACCTCCCCACTAGATCAGGATGCCCAAGGCTTCATCCAACCTGGCCTTGAATACTGCCAGGGTCAGGACAGCCACCACATGCAATTACATGTGTGGCTAGTTAATACGAGGTTTCTCAAAGTCTTACTCCCTTCCTACATTGGTCAGCCTGGAGCAATTCCTGGTTTGGGTTGTTTAAAATGCATGTGGGTTCCTTCTGTGTATTGATCTCCAAAGTGTTGCTCGTGTTCTGGTAGCAGATAAGGGTTCATTAATGGAAAGGCTTATTTACAAGGGTGTCCTTAATTACAGGTTACAGGAGTTTGGTCTCTTCTCCCAGGCAACCAGCAGGAGGACAAGAGGGCACAGACTCAAGCTCTGCCAGGGGAGGGTTAGGTTGGGTATTAGGAAGAGATTTTTTATGGAGAGAGTGATCAGGCATTGGAATGGGCTGCCCAGGGAGGTGGTGGATTCGCTGTCCCTGGAGGTTTTTAGGATGAGACTGGATGTGGCACTTAGTGCCATGGTGTAGTAACCACAGTAGGGTTGGACTTGATGATCTTGGAGGTCTTTTCCAACCTCGTTGATTCTATGATTCTGTGTTTCATACTTTACATTCCAGGTTCACCGTGATCCTGATTCACAAATGATTTTGGAAGAATGGAAGAAGGAAAGAAAAGAATTGAGGTAAAACACAAGAGATGAAGAGTTTGCTATATGCTTCATGGTAGCCAAGGATTCTATGTCATGTCTTCCATAGCTGTCTTTGATATTTCTCTCCATCCCTGGTTTATATTCTCTGGTAGTTACAGACCAGTAACATCAGTTACAGACAAACTGTTGGCGTAAAGCAATATTCTACCTGTCCCTTGTGCAGTTCTTCTCCACTTTGACACTTTGTGCACTTTTCCTTGTTCTCCTTCTTTAGCACAGATGTTACTTTTCTGGTAACAGCCTATCAAACACTTTTCCTTCTCATTTTGGCTCTCCTGTACCTCTCTGTTCAGCTGTCACTTCTGATCACACAGCTCGTGCACGTCCGAAAAATGTATTTCTTTGTCAAGACTTTGGTCAATTTTTCAGGTTTTTTAGATGTCTTCTTCAGCTTACAAGTAGTACATTTTAGAATACATAGAAACTAGGCTCTGCACTGGCCTGGATTTAGCAGTGGATTTATCACAACGATAGGTAATAGGGCTAAAATTCCTGGTTATTTATTACCATGAAGGAACAATCTCTAAATGTGAGTGTGCTGTGTTCAGCCTTCTCCAGAAACGTGGAAGGAAATGAAATGGGAAAGTGACTTGCTAGTGACTAATGACGGAAGTTAATTTCAGGATGTGTTTAAGCTTTCTGAGAACATTAAGCCAAAATTTTGCTTTAATCTTTGAGACAAGTGGATGTCATTGGGGTTTAGAAGAAGGCAAGCGTCTTTGACAACCTCTGGAAAAGAAGCTTTAGATGTCATGTTTCTGAAGTCAGAAGCAACTTCTCTCTGGGTTTAGTGAGAGAAGTATGAAGTTCTTCTGTTCACAACTGTGATTTCTAGATCTTGGGCTACACATGTGCAAACATTTCTTATGTGGCATATTAAAGTGTTTTGAAGTGCAACAGCAAGAGAATAATGCATAGAACAGACTATAGGAACTGCTTGCTTCAGGTTCTGGATGCTATTGTCTTTGTTTTCTCTCTTTGGGGGACAGGGAGATGAACAGGAATTTCTTCAACGCACAATTTGGAAGCTTATTCAGAACTGATGAGAATCCAACTTACTTCCTGAGACGTCTCTCTAGATTTGCAGATATCTACATGGCATCACTGAGTTGTCTCTTGAACTATGAGCCTGATTACACGTTTTATCCAAGAAGGACTCCTTTGCAGCATGAACTGCCTGGCTGGTCAGACCAGCTCTGCACTGGTACATTCAGAATACCTTTCCTACAAGAGACTGTTCAGATCAAATAAACCTTTGGTGGCTCCTCTCTAAAATGACAAATATATCTCTGTTTGTTGTTTTGAATGGATATGTATTTTATTTAAGTCACTGAAATCTGTTACCTTGGTTTAGATGTATTTCATACCTGTAAGTGTTGCACCTATCTGCTCCTCTCCTGCTCAGGCACGTGAAAACTCCTCTCACAGAGGAGACGATGAGCTGCCTAAATAGTAGTGGGCTAGGAGGGAGGGCACACCTGAGGGGAAGGACTGGTTATGTTCTGAGGCTTGTTCATTTGAAACTTTGATCTGCAGCCTTGTGGTTTACAGAGAAATATCTGTACTCTCACTTCTGGCCCTTTTCGGCACTCTAGCTGGAACCTGTAATGGGTCTTAACAATGAAAAGCTGAAATCCAGTGTTAAGAACTCAGTGATACTCAGTAACCAGCTTAGGGTGAGACTGAGGGGCATGGTGTGCAGATTTTACCTTTCCTTGCTGCCGTAGCTAGAGCCTTAGCTGTAAGTGAGCCAAAGACTGTGGTGTGGATCTGGCTCTGCTGCTCTGCAGGGATGACAGCACTGGTGGGCTCCTGATGATGGGCTCCTTCTCCTGCCTGTGCAGCTTCTGTTCTTTCTATGTGTGCTTGGCTGCAGGTGGACCTGAGCCTAAAACTGGCAGTACCTTGGGCTGCTTCAGCTTCCTTTTGTGAACTTTTAGGCACCTTTCTTGTTAGCTTACAAAATCCTTCAAATACCCACTCTCTAGTTATAAAGTAATTTCAAGAGATCTTGCGTTTTGCATTTCAAGGTGGAGGCAGATCTCTGTCAGGCTTTAGATTGATCCTAAATGCTGCTTTTTTGAAACTTTTAATGGTGTCTTATTACAGGGATATGCAATGTGATTTTGGTGTTCCCTAGGAGAGAATGTATTTCACACAGCCTTCAGTAATGGACTTTCAGCAGTCAAAAGCAACACGCACAATGGGCAAAGGAGTGAAAAGAAAAGTGAAGAAGTAGGAAAAATGAAACCCAGAGTTTTCTGATGACATATTTTTAGCTCAAGCCCTGCAAGCTGAATTAAGCGTGGTGCACATTTTTCATAGAGAAAAGCAATTTTTTGGCAGTGCAGATTTTGTGTTCCTGAAATTGAAGGTAATGCATGAACAGAAACTCTGGGTAGTATATCAAGTTCCAAAGATTTGAGCTGAAAAAATGTCTATTTTGCACAAGGAAAACATCTGTTGATGTGTTTCCTCAAACAGGCACTTTATAGAACTGCTATATACTTGTTTTTGAATAAGAATGATTTCCTTTCTCTGGATCCAAAGGAAATGTGTTCTCTTTTTGTTTTTTTTCCAATGGGTGCTTTGCCCCCCAATCATTTTAGAAGGCATAATGTGCTGAATATTTTTCCAATTTTAGTTATGAAAGGCTCAGTTTTTAAAAGCATAGAATTACCAGAATATATAACATTTGGTATTCCCTTGAGTTTGGGCTAGGACTTGCTTTCTATTGTGCTTGTCAGGTAAACAAACTTTTGGTGACCAAAAGTTTTCTTGGTTTGTTGTTTGTTTGGGGTTTTTTTTTGGTTTTTAACCTGTCTGTATTATGTGCAAGGACCTAGATTGGATTTCCTAAACAATATCTTTCATGTGTTTAAAATATGTTTGCAAAGTAAAGAATGTATTCTAACCTAACCTGCACAATTTCATTGATGGCTCTCCTGTATGCTTGAAATCAGTGTGAAATCCTCAGGGGTGGTTCTAGATCTTATGGTTTTCTCATGCTCCTTTTTCAGACTTGACATGCAACGCTCCTGAGGTTTGTGTGTTTAAGCAGATGAGTGTACTTGAAATGAGTAGTTTCATCTGACAGTCCTGTGGTTTTGAAGAGAGAAAGTTTGGCAGGAATTAGCCTGTCTTTATCAGACTTGTTGATGTGGCTGTGCAAGAAATATTTGACATAACTTGCTAATGAAACGTGGGAATGGAAACCCTTCAAATTGCCTTCAATTCTTTATCCTGATACTCAGCCAGAACTGAACTTGATGTTCATAGAACTGAACTAGATGTTCATAGATTCATAGATTGGTAAGGGGTTGGAATGGACATTAGCACTCATCCAGCCCCAACCTCCTGCCCTGGGCAGGGACGTCTCCCACCAAGGCTTTAGCCAACCTGGCTTTGAATACTGCCAGGGCTGGGACATCCAACCCTGTGGCTGGGTCATACCATCCCTCAGTTACCACAGAGGGCTGCTATGGACTGTAGCAGGAATAGTTACATGTGTGCAGCACCTTTCGTGCTCAAGACATTACAATGCACTGTTGAAAACCAACCCAACCCACCTAACCCACTGTACATTCTCAATCTCACTACCAGAAAACAATGTTGTGCAGTTTAGTTCTGCACTGTTGAATCAATTGTTTTATTGATTATAGCTCTGTGGTGGTGATTCTTTCAAAGGTGACTAGGAGTCAGTTTGTTTGCGTGGTTCTCCT